GATGTACGATAACAAATTAAATAACAAGAAATCAAACAAACCCATACAATCACTAAACTGAATCGCAATTTGCTATTAGATGTCTTGATGACAATAATGATGCTTATGAACCAAAAAAGACTTAAAAACGGTGGTAAGTAAGCCTAAGCAATTAAAACAATGTAATAAATTAAAATAACAATAAATATAACATACTTTTATATTTTAAAGCACCCATAATCAAAGACTTACTATAAGTACGTTAGTTAAGTAAAAACTTGCTTGAATTCCAGAAGTAGTTGAAAAGCAAAAAATGCAACAATTTACGTAAACTATGGTCAAATGTCGAGCAAGTTTTTTAAGCTCATTTACGTTCGAGGATTCATCCATTTTTACAAGTTAGAAGGGTAAATTTTGGAAATAAAATTGCAAGGCTGACTTGGTAGGTTATATATTTATATAATATTAATAGCATACCAGTAAGGATCTTATATATTATTAACTTGTAACTTTTTTTATATATATGGTGCTTATTTACACGGGAATCATTCTGACTATATTAATTTTTCAGTTATAAACGAGTAAAAAAATCCAATAACTTGGCATCACATAAATTCTTTAAGTCAAAGTAAGACTGTTATTATAAACCAAGTTTCCAGTTATTTATTCTATATTAGCAAACTAAATAATATACAGCATATTTTATATTTATTTAGTCCACCAATGATAAGATAAACCGGTTCTAATACTTTAAAATTATTTATATATAACGATAAGTTATGTATTTATACGTATTATAATATAGTGTGATACTGCATATCAATACTGTATTATCGGGAATTCATCGACTGACATACCTAATCTGATAAATTGACTCCCTCATACTCTTTTCTTTCACTTATCCGCAAGAAAACTCTTTTCTGAATACCTTGTTATTAATTTTTCAGAAAAAAACGCGTATATTATAGATTTTAAAAAAGCTATTCAGTACCAAGGTAATACAGTCAACTCTGTTTATAACGAACTGACGAGTCTTATAGTAAAAATTTTTAAAAGTTCGTTATATAGTAATTTACTATATTTTATATACCGAACTTATATTAAATTTGAAAAAAAAAGTTCATTATATAGTGTGTTCGTTATAAAAAGGTTCGTTATATCCAGAGTCGACTGTAATGTATTTTTTCATTGGCATTATCGAAATACAAATTCACATTTGTAATTTTTGAATCTTTTAAAGTGAGTGGCAGAAATAAGGTTAACAATGTTCAACAAGAAAGCCAGTTAAGCCAAAAAAAATTATAGGAATGATCCAAAGCAATTTATGGCAGCCAAAAGCTAGTCGTTCGTAAGGTTAAGGAAAGGCAATTTAGTACTTGTATGAGAATCTTTACCCAAAAAAATTATGTGAACTGTCCATACAAAGCTATTTGCTCAAAGTTTACAGAAGTTTTTGCCTTGTTGTTGCTTCCGGAGTTATTATTTTTAGTGTATGTAATGTTGCTTTAGAAAAATTGTCTTTTTTTTTTTTTAGCTAAATTCGTATTTTGTATTTTAGGTATTAGACTTTATCTTTGAAGTTTTGTTACTGTAAATTCTATTTTTTTTATTATTTTGCTTTTCTTCATATTGTTAATATTTTTTTTATATATTTTACAGCTATGAAGACGTGGCAAATGTCTACAAAATGAATTTCTTAATGTTTGGTCCTGTCATATTGCTACCTTTAGCAACCAACAAAATCATAGATGTTGTATTCATTTTAAGAATTGTATTCATTAGCAGATCACGAATTACGTCATTTGTATTACGTTAGTCATGATGTCATGTCTACTATGTCCATAGATATTTTTGGCCTTGTCCATGTCCATGTCCACGTCTATGTCCATGGACGTCCATGAATGTCATGAATATAATTTCAATCTATACTTTAATATATATTATTAAAAATATATTTTTATATGTAAAATTTAGTAATAAATATTTTTCTTAATGCTACTTAAGTTATCATAATAAATTTTTGAGTTATTGGAATTTTTCTCTTTGTGTAACATGTCCATATTTTGTCCATACTTTGTCCAATCAATTTTAAATGATCATATAATCTGCTTATTAAAAAATATTTAAACATCGAGGTTTCCATGGTGAAAACATTTTACAAGATTTATTTAAAAATTTTTAATTTAAAATTTTACAAAAGTTTATGTAATTAATTATTTAATTCAAAATAATTTTCGTCAAAAAAATCACATCATGAACATATGATTACTACAACCCATCATAATAATTCTTCAATTTTTGATATGAACTCTCTTCATCATTATTTATAAGAACGAAACATTCTAATGCCTTCTTATTATCAGGATTAATTTCTAATAATGTTGTCAGATCGACTAAAGCTTTATCATTTTTACTAATCGCAGTATATGCTTGAGCTCGAATACTCAATATCTCTTCGTTATTGGGATTAATTTCTAATAATCTATTCAGATCGACTAAAGCTTCGTCATATTTACCGATTTTAGTATATGCTTGAGATTCATTTTCAATAATTCAGTCGAAATATCGATCATTACTTCTCCTTGAAACCGTAACAAATCCTTATCATTCAAATCATTGAGAGTATATAAATTTGCAACTAATTTCGTGATAAGACGGATTGGTTTTCGCAGATCTACACGTGATTATAACCCAATCAAATTACATAATTTTTATTACATTACAGTTCTAAAAATGAAAAACGAAAACTTCAAGACAAAAAATTTATATGAATTGGTAAAAACACTGACTATATACATATAAAAGATAGGTGAATATATGGATATTCATCGGTTTAAAGTAACCCGTTTTAAGAAAAACGGTACTATTTCAAACCTTTATTATTTCAAAGGACAATAAAGCTAAAATTGAATAATCAAAAAAAAATCAACAAAGAGCTAGTAAAAACACCACCAATCAGTATATTCGGATATTTTTTTCATTTTTCTCCCTGTCTAATTCTTTTTGCATGCTGAATAATTTGTTATTAAGTCCAAAAACAATAGTGCCAAAGTTATTGATATGTTTCGATTGATTCGCATTCAATCTTTAATAATAAAAATTTAATTAATATAATATACAATTTCTTAGAAATACAAGATAAGAAATTATTAAAATATGCCTTTTTTCATGATTAAGTTTTTTATTCAAATTATCGATTTCACTGCAGATTATATGGTTAATATATATATTTATTAGCAACTTAAAGACTATTAAAATTCTGAAAAAATACGTTTTCTTCTGATCAAGTTCTTTAGTCAGGCGATAGATTTCACTGATGAGAAGAGACTCTCTGTGCGTTTGATATTTCAGATGTACTGCAGCTTTACATTAATGCATTGTTAGTAAATTCTAGAATTACATGTGTTTCACTAAAACATAAAGATGAACACCATTTTGTAGCAAGTTCGCTTTACTCATCTTATTTCTTGCAAGATGATGTGGAAGCACGTTATAAAGCACAGCGAAGCCTTCTCTGATTTTCAAATTTAATTTTCGCTCAGCTTCGGCACGTTTCTGTTTCCTATTAGTTCAAATTAGATTTTATTTTATGGAGATTGCAACTTCAATAAAGATGAATTATACCTGGCAACAGAAACATTATTAGAGGTTCTATAATCGATGTTATTTCCAGAGATTTCAGTACTTGAGAAGTCTGAAGAATCTGCTTTAAGAGTTTAAAAAAGAAAATTTAAAGTTTATTATGAGTAGTGATGCTTAACCGCATAGATCGGCATGAAGGAAAAAGAGGTGCATTCTTACTTTGGCTTTTAGCCATGAAATAATTGTCATAAAAATTCATATGTGATCTTGCCTAAAGGATAGTGAATAAAAGACGCCAAATGATGCCAATTTATTAGATTTTTTTGATCAAGTGAGGATTTTAGAATATATTAATATTATTAGATACTGAGTCAATTTATCAGATTTCAGTTCGATGAATTCTCGTGTAAACAAGATTAAGTTAAGAACATTATATAATAATATGTTTGCGATCTACAATATACTATTATATATATAGTTATTATATTTAAAAAAAAACTGGCAATATAAAGGTATCTTTAA